GAGGCACTGGTGAGCAATGAATCTCTTTGATTGATGGTCCGTACTATTATTAGCTGGGACTAATGCGAATTGCAGGCCTCCATCGCTATGTGTTCCTTGTTTACAAACAACCCAGTGGTCGTATCAGTGACTCCGACCACGGCCACTTGACAAATCGATCAGGTGATGGCCGTGGTGGTTTTAAGACAGAGAAATTTGTTGCAAAACACAAGCTTGGCACGCCAATTGCAGGAAATTTCTACCAGGTTCGTTTGACAATGTGGCGACGCTATTCGGCTCGGGAGGGGGGGGGGCAATTTACACGTTTGCTTGTCCCTTTTGTTAGCCCACGTAAACTGGCGAATCTCACTTTGATGGCACCTGCAAAACCGTGTGAAGCTGCGTAATGGGAAAAGTATGCCAGTTCGGTTACAAGAAATTGCATGTCTTCACGAGTTGACCCGTACAGGCTTTGCTGACCAGGAAAGGTCAACAGGTCAGCCTGGCCATTTGCAATGAGATGCACATCGTTGTACTGTCTTGAGACGGTGAACTCAAAACTGTCTTCAAAATTTGCAGAACGATTCTCTGAGCGGAGTTATGGAGGTTTTTCTTTACTGTTTTTCTTCTTACGGGCGCGCTGGCGCCGAAGCGTTGGCACATGTAGCGCGACTCACAGCGCTCTTCGCGCAAAACAGGTATCATATTCGTGTTCAGGGGGTCAAATAACCCCTAGGGACGTCACCTTAGCGAAGTTTGAGGTTCTTGATGACTGGTCTTCGAACTGAAATAACTCTTCAGTCATGTCTTTTTGCAAACAACAGTACCTGGCTTACTTATTTGTGCCGTCTGCATCGCTATCGGGAGGAAATCCCATTCCGAGACCAGTCATCGATAGTAGGTGAGCTCCAACCTGCTGCTAATTTGTACACTTCCAAAAAAACTGATCGCAGGTTCCCTTACAAGGTAGTGCAGGCGAGCAGAGATGTTAGAAGCTTTGTCGGCTATGTTCTTGGACAAATGCAAAAAAGCGACCTGCCCCGGAACCGATCCTACGACGTCTCGCCTAAGAAACCCGCTCCTACCCGTTGCGCTCTACTGCCACGTTTCAGCACGACTCCATACATAAATGACGCTTCCACGTTTCCTCGCGATAGCATGTGAAACGACCACGCGGGGATAAAACCCTCCATAACTCCGTTCAGAGAATCGTTCCGCAAATTCTGAAGGTAGATTTGAGTTCACTGTCCCAAGACGCGTACAACGGTGTGCAGCTCATTGGAAATGGCCGGGCTGACCTGTTGACCTTTCCTGGTGAGTAATAACTGGTGCTCCCAC